CTGTCTTTGCAAAAAGAAAAGGAGTACTTGTGGCACCTTAGAGACTAACCAATTTATTTGAGCATGAGCTTTCGTGAGCTACAGCTCACTTCATCGGATGCATACCGTGGAAACTGCAGTAGACATTATATACACACAGAGACCATGAAACAATACCCCCTCCCACCCCACTGTCCTGCTGGTAATAGCTTATCTAAAGTGATCATCAAGTTGGGCCATTTCCAGCACAAATCCAGGTTTTCTCACCCTCCGCCCCCCCCCCCCCCAACTCACTCTCCTGCTGGTAATAGCCTATCCAAAGTGACCACTCTCTTCACAATGTGTATGATAATCAAGGTGGGCCATTTCCTGCACAAATCCAGGTTCTCTCACCCCCCTCCAAAAACCACACACACAAACTCACTCTCCTGCTGGTAATAGCCTATCCAAAGTGACCACTCTCTTCACAATGTGCATGATAATCAAGGTGGGCCATTTCCAGCATAAATCCAGGTTTTCTCACCCCCCCCCATACCCACACAAACTCACTCTCCTGCTGGTAATAGCTCATCCAAAGTGACCACTCTCCCTACAATGTGCATGGTAATCAAGGTGGGTCATTTCCAGCACAGATCCAGGCTTTCTCACTCCCCCGCCCTCCCCCCGGGGGACACACACACACATAAACTCAATCTCCTGCTTCCGCCGACGTGCACGGGCTGAAATTGTGGAAAAGCAGCATCACTTGCCCCATAACCTCAGCCGTGCGGAACACAATGCCATCCACAGCCTCAAAAACAACTCTGACATCATAATCAAAAAGGCTGACAAAGGAGGTGCTGTTGTCATCATGAATAGGTCGGAATATGAACAAGAGGCTGCTTGGCAGTTCTCCAACACCACTTTCTACAAGCCATTACCCTATGATCCCACTGAGAGTTACCAAAAGCAACTACAGCATTTGCTCAAGAAACTTCCTGAAAAAGCACAAGATCAAATCCGCACAGAAACACCCCTGGAACCCCGACCTGGGATTTTCTATCTACTACCCAAGATCCATAAACCTGGAAATCCTGGACGCCCCATCATCTCAGGCATTGGCACCCTGACAGCAGGATTGTCTGGCTATGTAGACTCCCTCCTCAGGCCCTATGCTACCAGCACTCCCAGCTACCTTCGAGACACCACTGAATTCCTGAGGAAACTTCAATCCATCGGCGATCTTCCTGATAACACCATCCTGGCCACTATGGATGTAGAAGCCCTTTACACCAACATTCCACACAAAGATGGACTACAAGCCGTCAAGAACACTATCCCCGATAATGTCACGGCTAACCTGGTGGCTGAACTTTGTGACTTTGTCCTTACCCATAACTATTTTACATTTGGGGACAATGTATACCTTCAGATCAGCGGCACTGCTATGGGTACCCGCATGGCCCCACAGTATGCCAACATTTTTATGGCTGATTTAGAACAACGCTTCCTCAGCTCTCGTCCCCTAAAGCCCCTACTCTACTTGCGCTATATTGATGACATCTTCATCATCTGGACCCATGGAAAAGAAGCCCTTGAGGAATTCCACCATGATTTCAACAATTTCCATCCCACCATCAACCTCAGCCTGGTCCAGTCCACACAAGAGATCCACTTCCTGGACACTACAGTGCTAATAAACAATGGTCACATAAACACCACCCTATACCGGAAACCTACTGACCGCTATTCCTACCTACATGCCTCCAGCTTTCACCCTGACCACACCACACGATCCATTGTCTACAGCCAAGCTCTGCGATACAACCACATTTGCTCCAACCCCTCAGACAGAGACAAACACCTACAAGACCTCTATCAAGCTTTCTTACAACTACAGTACCCACCTGCGGAAGTGAAGAAACAGATTGATAGAGCCAGAAGAGTTCCCAGAAGTCACCTACTACAGGACAGGCCTAACAAAGAAAATAACAGAACGCCACTAGCGGTCACCTTCAGCCCCCAACTAAAACCCCTCCAATGCATTATTAAGGATCTACAACCTATCCTGAAGGATGACCCAACACTCTCACAGATCTTGGGAGACAGGCCAGTCCTTGCCTACAGACAGCCCCGCAACCTGAAGCAAATACTCACCAACAACCACATACCACACAACAGAACCACTAGCCCAGGAACCTATCCTTGCAACAAAGCCCGTTGCCAACTGTGCCCACATATCTATTCGGGGGACACCATCACAGGGCCTAATAACATCAGCCACATTATCAGAGGCTCGTTCACCTGCACATCCACCAATGTGATATATGCCATCATGTGCCAGCAATGCCCCTCTGCCATGTACATTGGTCAAACTGGACAGTCTCTACGTAAAAGAATAAATGGACACAAATCAGATGTCAAGAATTATAACATTCATAAACCAGTCGGAGAGCACTTCAATCTCTCTGGTCACGCAATCACCGACATGAAGGTCACTATCTTACAACAAAAAAACTTCAAATCCAGACTCCAGCGAGAAACTGCTGAATTGGAATTCATTTGCAAATTGGATACTATTAATTTAGGCTTAAATAGAGACTGGGAGTGGCTAAGTCATTATGCAAGGTAGCCTATTTCCCCTTGCTTTTTCCTACCCCTTCCCCCCCCAGACGTTCTGGTTAAACTTGGATTTAAACTTGGAGAGCGGTCAGTTTGGATGACCAGCAGGAGAGTGAGTTTGTGTGTGTATGGGGGTGGGGAGTTGAGAAAACCTGGATTTATGCTGGAAATGGCCCACCTTGATTATCATGCACATTGTAGGGAGAGTGGTCACTTTGGATAAGCTATTACCAGCAGGAGATTGAGTTTGTGTGTGTGGTTTTTGGAGGGGCGTGAGGGGGTGAGAGAACCTGGATTTGTGCAGGAAATGGCCCACCTTGATTATCATACACATTGTGAAGAAAGTGGTCACTTTGGATGGGCTATTACCAGCAGCAGAGTGAGTTTGTGTGTGGGGGGGGCAGAGGGTGAGAAAACCTGGACTTGTGCTGGAAATGGCCCAACTTGATGATCACTTTAGATAAGCTATTACCAGCAGGAGAGTAAGTTTGTGTGTGTATGGGGGTGGGGGTGGGGGGTGAGAAAACCTGGATTTGTGCTGGAAATGGCCCACCTTGATTATCATGCACATTGTAGGGAAAGTGGTCACTTTTGATAAGCTATTACCAGCAGGAGAGTGAGTTTGTGTGTGTGGTTTTTGGAGGGGGGTGAGGGAGTGAGAGAACCTGGATTTGTGCTGGAAATGACCCACCTTGATTATCATATGTTCTAGTTTAACTTGGATTTAAACTTGGAGAGTGGTCAGTTTAGATGAGCTATTACCAGCAGGAGAGTGAGTTTGTGTGTGTATGGGGGGTGGGGGGGATGTGAGAAAACCTTGATCTATGCAGGAAATAGCCCTACTTGATTATGTAAAGAGTTGTCACTTTGGATGGGCTAGCACCAGCAGGAGAGTGAATTTGTGTGGGGGGTGGAGGGTGAGAAAACCTGGATTTGTGCTGGAAATGGCCCACCTGTTGATCACTTTAGATAAGCTATTACCAGCAGGACAGTGGGGTGGGAGGAGGTATTGTTTCATATTCTCTGTGTGTATATAAAGTCTGCTGCAGTTTCCACGGTAAACATCTGATGAAGTGAGCTGTAGCTCACGAAAGCTCATGCTCAAATAAATTGGTTAGTCTCTAAGGTGCCACAAGTACTCCTTTTCTTTTTGCGAATACAGACTAACACGGCTGTTCCTCTGAAACCTGTCATTGTGAAGAGAGTGGTCACTTTGGATGGGCTATTACCAGCAGGAGAGTGAGTTGGGGGGGGGGGGCGGAGGGTGAGAAAACCTGGATTTGTGCTGGAAATGGCCCAACTTGATGATCACTTTAGATAAGCTATTACCAGCAGGACAGTGGGGTGGGAGGGGGTATTGTTTTATGGTCTCTGTGTGTATATAATGTCTACTGCAGTTTCCATGGTATGTATCCGATGAAGTGAGCTGTAGCTCACGAAAGCTCATGCTCAAATAAATTGGTTAGTCTCTAAGGTGCCACAAGTCCTCCTTTTCTTCTAACACCTAAGGTAGCACCCAGTCCACTGAACCATCCTTCCTTTCTTTGTCTTTGTATGGTAAGACAACTCCTAGAACAATGGGGCCCTGATCCTGAGTAGGCTTCCTGGGTGATGTTGCAATAAAAATAAAAATACTGCAGCAGAACCATTGTTCTAGACACGTTCACCATCATTTTTGTAAAGTCCAGTATAGGAGAACAAACTAAAAGGTGGGAAGGATAAACAAATTGTCCTTGATTCACAGGAAAAGATATGCATGCTCAACTTAATTTCCATGAGTTTTAATTTCCATTGGCTGGAGCACTTCTTTCCATCTGTTTCAATGGTCCTTTGGAGCCGTTTTCAGTCCGCACAGTGAGGTTAGTGTTGGTAGCCTGGATGGAGATTGTAAATTGTACTGTTCTACTCCAAGCAGGCTGCCAGCAGTAGGAAATGTCATCCCCATTCGCTGGTGCCTGGGCCCACAATGATGATGGTTATCGGTTTCTGTCACTGTGTATGTTAAGGTAGAATTTAGACTAGCATCCCCAGACAGGAGGAGGGTTTCACTGGACTAATGTGCTGTACAAACACAATCAAACCTGAGCCCTGTCGCTGTCTAGACACACAGGGCAAGAAGCCAGCCCGGTGCAAGGGGCTGTGAGCGGGAGGCTGGCTCTGTGGCGTGATGCGCTGCTGGGAGCATCTCTCCCGGCGGCTGCCTGACCCTTTATGGGAAGAACCGGGAGGCCAAGGGGCGGAGGAGGGCGCTGGCCCTAAATAAACCTCAGCCGGGATTGCGACCCCCCCCCCTTTGGCCCAGTTCCCCCCGGACAACCCGCCGGCTCCGAGCCGCTGTGACAGCCCCAGCAGCCGGGGGGGCCGGGCCCGGGGGAGGGGGCCCTCAGTGCTCGGGGGGCGGCGGCGGCCGGCGCGAGGGGCAGGGCCAGCCTTGCATCATCCCCGCCGGGCTGCAGCGGCGGCGCGGGCGCCTTGCCTAGCCGGGGCTGCAGCAGCGGGCATCGGGCGGCCCGGCCGGCGGCATGGAGAGGCCGAGCGAGAGCTGGAACGGCCACGTGCGGAGCGGCGCCCTGGCCGGGCGGGAGGCGACGGCGGGCCGGGCGCTGCCCGCGGAGCCGGCCCGGCGGCGGGGCGGGGGCTGCGGCCGCTGCCTGAGGAAGCACTGCCTGGTCATCCTGACCGTGGCCGGCGTGCTGCTCGGGGTGGCCCTGGGCGCGGCCGTCCGCGGCGCCCGCCTGAGCCGGGCGCAGGTGGCCGCCCTGGCCTTCCCCGGGGAGCTGCTGCTCCGCATGCTGCGGATGGTCATCCTGCCGCTGGTGGTCTGCAGCCTGGTCTCCGGCGCCGCCAGCCTGGACACCCGCGCCCTGGGCAAGCTGGGGGGCATCGCCGTCGCCTACTTCATGGGCACCACCCTGGTGGCCTCCGCGCTGGCCGTAGCCTTGGCCTTCATCGTCCGACCCGGGGCCGGGGCCCAGGCGCTGAACACCAACGCCCTGGGGCTGGCCGACGCCCTGCCCACCAGCAAAGAGACGGTGGACTCCTTCCTGGACCTCGCCAGGTACCTGCCTGCCCCCCGTACCCGTGCTAAGGCGGGAGCTGGCCCCCCACCTGGGGGGGGGGGTGTCTGCTGCTGGAGCCGAGGAACCACCTGTTACGGGATCAGCCCCAGCTAGACCCTGGCGCTGACCGTGGCTAGCACTAGACGCTTCAGAGGAAGGATGTGCAGTAACCTGCCCCCAGTAATGTGCAGTAACCTCTCCTAAGCCCCTTAATTAGAGGTTGGTTTATGCCCTGAAGCGGGAGGGTTTCTAGACTTTTTTTTTTTACTATTATAATTCTACCCATAGAAGTGTCTGATCCCACTTTGAATCCTGCTCAGCTCTTGGCCTCAGTCATATCTTGTAGTAGTGAGTTCCATTGGTTAGTTACGTGTTGTGTGAGAAAGTTATTTCCTTTGTTCAATTCTGAATTTGGCTCCTTTTGGTTTCATTGAAAGCCCCCGGGGTTCTTGGGTGAATACAAGGTGTGTAGACCATTCATTATTCTGCATGCTTTTATCATATCCCCTCTCATTCATAGATCTAAGGTCAGAAGGGGCCATTGTGATCATCTCTCTGGTCTCCTGCATAGCACAGGCAACAATGGGACTTCCCCAAAATAATTCCTAGAGCATATCTTTTAGAAAAACATCCAGTGTTGATTTAAAAATTGTCAATGAGGGAGAATCTACCAGGTAAATTGTTCCAATGATTACTTACTTTCACCATTTAAAAATGTACGCCTTATTTTCAGTCTGAGTTTGTCCTGCTTCAACTTCCAGCCACTGGATCATGCTATATCTTTCTCTGCTAGATTGAACATCCCATTATTAAATATTTGTTCCCCGTGTAGGTACTTATAGACTGTAATTAAGTGACCCTTTAACTTGTGTTAAATTAACTAGATTAAGCTCTTGGAGTCTGTCACTATAAGGCATGTTTTTTAATTCTTTAATCATTCTTGTGGTTCTTCTTTGAACCATCTCCAATATACCAACATCCTTCTTGAATTGTGGGTGCCAGAACTGGACACAGTATTCCAGCAGCTGTTGCATCAGTGCCAAACACAGAATTAAAATAGTCTCTCTACTCCTACTCAAGATTTCCCTGTCAAAGGCATCCTCTGGTGAAGGCAAACAATCCCAGTCTTTTCAATCTCTCTTCATATAAAAGTTTTTCCTGCTCCCAAATCATTCTTGCTGCATATCTCTGAACTCCCTCTAATTCTGCAGTATCCTTTTTGAGAAGGGGTGATGAAAACTGGTCGCAGTATTCCAGTTAAGGCTATCCCATTGACTTATACAGTGGCATGATTGTATTTAATATGTTTTGTATTATCCTCCACCCCACTCCTTTTTCATCCTGACATTTTGTAGGTTCCTTCCACCTATTGCAGAGAAAGGGAGCCAGCTGAAAAAATTACAGCCCCATGAGAACTCCTTCAAAGGGAAAGCTCCCATTTCTAATTACGTAGCAGTTATTCTTATTTTGTCTTATTGCGTAGTAGGTGTTGTTATTTAATTTTAAATAGGTGCTGGGGCGGGGGTCAGAGTCTGCAGTAACACTTCTACAGTTCACTATTTTTAGTGTGCAGATGCTGGGAAAATCTGAATAAGAGAGATTTGTTTTTTTTAAAAGACACATTTCAGTGAAACACACAGAGCCAACGTTTTCATCATCAAAGGGAGAGATTCTTAATAATTTCATAATTATTTCCAACTGCAGTCTCTTATTCAATGATTAATCTTTGTTCAACTCTTTCAAAGTGTAACACACAATATATTAGTAGTATTCAGGACCTGATAGTGTCATCTTACTCACGCTGAGTAATACTTTACTCTGTGAGTAGTCCCATTGCGGAGGTTAATCAAAGAGGAAATTACTACATAATCTGAAAAAAGTGGCAGAATGAATGAGAACCTGCAAGTTGGAGTGCAGTGTCTTCAAATAAAAATATACTGAGGGAAATTGTTATAGTATAATGGGTATGAATGTATGGAGATAAATTCCCTTTTATAAGAACTGATAGTCTCCTGTTCATATTTTGTCTATTTTTGGGCTGGGGAGAAGAGTTACAATATAAAATCAAAGTGACCGAGCTCTTATGTTTAACAAACATGTTAGTTCAAAGGTTTAGTTGTTGTTGTTGTTTTTTTTAAATATACATTGTGTTATTGTTGAGGGCTATAGAATGCCCATTGAGATGAATTGGAATCGATGGGGTGGGGGAAACCAATCTAAGAAAAAGAAAAACAATTTTTTTAAAATGTAGAAAGAATCTACCTGTCACTGCTAAACTCTGAGAGTCTAGAAGACCATGATAATGACCCAAGCTGTATGCTGCGCATTCATAGGATGCTGGGCATGTGTGTGGTATTTTCTTGATCCTGGAGTTCTGAGTGTTCTGAATGCATACAGGATGGACGGGGGCCGAGCACTTCCAAGTGTGCTTGGTAGGATTTCTGAAGTTCCACCTAAACTTGGGAGCAGTAGACAGATTCCCCCAGCATCATCTAAATGCAAATGCTGAGTTTAAATGAAGTAGATAGAGCTCAGAGTCAGGGGTTTGATAAGGTGTATTGTGATGGTTCTCGGGGTTCCCAGGACTGTGAGTCATCTTGTTCCCTACCATCTGCCTCTTGCGAGAGAGAGTCTTCCCTGTGATAGCGGGGTGTTGGATTCCTAACACCACCAGCCTTTTAGCCACTCACCCACTCTCCTCCAGGTTGTGCCAGTATCCTGTCTTTGCTCTGCAGGTAAACAAGAGGTGCACCACAATCCCCTTGAAGTGATCCCCTGTGATATCCAGCCCCTGACATGGGATACTCACGGAAATCCCAGATCCTCTGCTCCCAATGGAGCAGTGTACCCCACTTTACCAGTTTTACCTTAAACTACTGCTTGCTGTATCACACACAGCACTTATGAGCACTTATAATAAAACAAAATAATGTATTTTTAAGGAAGAATAGAGGTTCCACTAGAAACAAGAGAGTGATGGAAACAAATGGTTACAATACAAAACAAAATCTTAAAACGCAAACTAGGGCCCTCCCTTATTAATAGTTACATTTTTCTATCTCATAAAGTAGGTTTTCCCCCCAAAGGTTTAGAGCTCGCTGGCTTCACAGGAACCAGGATCCAGTCTTTCATGAAACAACCTAACTCCATCAGATGTCTCCTCAGTGAATGGATGCAGAGTGTCTTTCTCCACCCTGTGATGTATCCATCTTTTATCTTTAGTCACAGACCGGGTGACCCCTCGGAATGTTCCTTTCTACCCCTAAGTGGTTTTGATTGTTTGCCGTTGTCTTTGATGGTTTTCCATTGACTATTTTGAGATGGGGTAAGGGTAGACAATTGAACCTTACATTACATCACTGGCTGACCAAGGAGGGATAACAACTCTCTACCGCTTGAATGGGCCATCATCAGGCCATATTATCCTCTGATGACTAACTTTTACTCCAATCCCATAGGCATAGTTTTCAATATAGTTCTGTTATTCCTTAAATATTATGTGTACAAAGATCTCACAATGATTGAGTATTGATAAGTTACAAGCTTTCAGTAGAGATCTCACATGCTACCTTTTATGGGTAAATTCCATGAAAGCAGTGTATTAGGTGTAGTGAGTTTGTCAGGTCTGAGACAGAAGCTGCTTATAAAGAACAGTGATCCCTTTGCCCAGTGGGTTTCTGTGTCACAGTTACCAATGGAATGTAATCCTTCATGCTAAAAAACAAAACAAAAACAACACTTGCTGGCTCAGTAAACAACACTAATGTGCACATTGGTGCCATTTCTAGAGAAAAAGCATTGACTGATTTTTTCCCCCATTTTGGTTTATACAAAGATAACTAAGTGCCTATCTTATATTCAAGGTGCCCATACATAGTTTAATCTAATGAAATATCCTAAGATAATGGACTACTCTTCCCATCCATATGAAGAAATACACACCAACCATAAAAACCTTCCCCAGCAGACAGAAAAACCCCTTCGTACCTCAGCCAACCTGTCCTCAAATGTCCTGGAGAAAAGAAGATCCATGCAGCATGTCCTGATGATTGACAGATCCAGCCTTTGGTGAATGAGGGAAGGGAGCAAATTCCAAAGTCAAGAATCCCTTGAGGAGCATGCTCTGGCAGCAGTGCCCCAACTCTGGCCCTCTGCATTGATTTCAGTTGTGGCAATGTCCCACAGGGAGAGGAGCAGTCGGTCTCTCAAGTAATCAATCCCTAGCAATAAGCACCCCTCTAAAACACACTAGGGGGCCACTACGATAATGGGACAAAATCCAATTTGAAAATATCAGATGAAATGGATTGTTCCAACACACCATCGCCGCCCTCCCCCATGTATCACCTCCAACACACTGGCCCGCTCAACACAGAATCCCACCCTGAAACCTGGAAACACCATCCCTAGACTGTTGCTCTGTCCCCTCCCCAAGCACCATGTTTTGTTTTTGTTTTTGAAGAGCTTTGTGTCCAGAAGGTTAACAAATCCAGGCTCTGGCTGACCAGGGGCAGAGCAAGTTATGTGAGGGACTTGCATGGAAAACACCCCACTGGTTATTTCCCTCTCGCCCTAGTATTGCTTTTTAAAATGTTTCTGCTGATCTCAGCTGTGGCAGAATGCTACAGGAGAGGAGGTCTTTAAGCTGGCAAAGCGTCAAACCATTTAGGGCTTCACAGGTTCAAATCAAGACTGAACTGTGCCTGGAATCAAACTGGCAGCCAGTGCAAATCACTTTCACACTGAAAGCACACAACACTGATGCACTGTGATTTTTTTTTTAGTATGAAACACTTCAGTTAAACCCAAGGACACGTGGCTTTGATTTTTTTGGCTGTTATCTGTGGTGTCTGGAAACGTCCTTTGAGATTCTGCTACACAGTTCAGTTCAAATTGGGGCAACAGCAAATGCCAAAATATGTAGACTGGTCAAAAATCAATTAAAACGTTTTCAGTGATATCAAGACAGTTCATAATTAGCTTGTGAAAAACAGGTGGC